GTTCAATAAAATTTTGAATGCAATTCAACAAATGTGATGACATGGCTTTTCACCTGTGACCTGTCTGGAGAAGGTTAAAGAGGTTTTTAAAACTATTAAATTTATTCTTTACTTTCAATTAGAGGTTATAAGGAATAATTATATTCAATTAGTAAATACATGTATGTTTTAGTGTAGTGATTTGTAACTTCAAGAAGCTAGAGAATTGGATGAAATAAATAGTGATTCTGATTTTATTCAATATTTCAGGGCATTAAAGATTGGTTTAATAAATCAAGATCTTGTTGATGACTGTGATCCATCTTTGATGTTTACTATCCCTCGTCTGGCTATCACCTGGTAAGATGTTTTCACAGTTTCTTCTTTTTTTTCTGAAGTGATTTGTTTAGTTTTACCGTAATCTTAAATTTTCAAGATGATAACTCACCTTTTCACAAAGAAATGCTATTTTCCTCATGTGTCTGCTTATGAGATTTTCATGCCACTAGCCTTAAGCTAACTATCACCTAAATTCACATGTTTAATCTCAAATGCACTGGTGCATGATGACATCATGTGACAATAGCCCCTCACCAATAGGAGGGCAATACAACCTCAATGTGCTCTACTTCTATGCACTTACACTCGTGATAACTTCATTCTTTCCTCAGCTTTGCATTGAACAGAAATCTTCAAATTTCTTGTCTGTGTTTATTTGGAGATTTGCATTTATTAACAGAACTTTGATATTTGTTCTCTTTGGCTTTTGTTTCAAAAGCTTTAATTCTTTTCATGAATTCTCAAGTGACAGTGATTTCAACTTTGTCCTGGGTGAATGACAATGTTATACACACGGGCTATATCTCTACTGTGGCTTTGGGAAGCTCATTGACTGTTGAGGATGTTACTGCCAGTTTACAACATGTTGTGAGATCCATCGTGTATTAATGGCTTTTTATTCCTGTCCATTTGGCTGATGTCCCTTCCTCTCAATTTGCAGCTGACCAGGAGGAAGATGAGTTTGACTGTTCCCTTCAACTGGATTTGCTTTGAGTACCTCCCTACTGGTCTAGATAATCCTTAATCTTCCACACTGTTTCAGGATTTGATTTCTTTCTCTTTCACCTGTGTCTTATGAGTTTTCTTAATCTTTGCTCGACGATCTTAATTCTTAGGATTATTTAGTATTTCCTCCCTTGCCTGACATTCGGGTTCATGCTGATACCTTCTTTGATCAGCTTCATACCCGTACCCATGCCTCATCCTCTTCACCTCCTTGTTCTCATGTCTTAGGAAAATGAATGAAGGTAAGGTTTCTCAATTCTCAGTCTTTGGAATTTCTAATACCTACTTGGGGAAATGGACCCTTGTCTTCTCTTTCACTTCCTAGTGCCCAGTTTTTGCATGTCTTTTCCTCACTACCCTACTACTTATGTTACCATCTTATGTCTGAGGTGCTTCAGAAAGGTTTTTGGGGAGGTTTGTTCCCTTCTTTTAACCATGATTGCCCATACCACTTCTGCCCCATCTTTATTCACTTTATTAATTGGCTGTTGGGTTGGGATACACTCTTTGTTGATCTCCACCTACCTACTTCTAATCTGCATGATCTCTGTTGGGCTCCCTTTCTTTAACCTGACTTCTTCAGCACCAGTCATCTTTATCTTCCCTGTTTTCTTGCCTTTCACAACCTCACCCTTCAATACTTGTTTCTCAATTGGGTCATTCTGCCCCTAAAATTCCTGTTCCACCTTCCAAACCTTCCTTCCTGTTCTCGCACTACCTGCAGTCAGGTTTGTCACACGTCTTATCTGTGACTATTGTGTCTGGTCAGGCCCAATGGGTGTCCGTCTGTCACAGTTTGCTGACCTTTGGTCACAGTTCTTTACTCACAGATGGGTTCTTCAGGTCCTCACCCATGGTCCTTTTGTCCTTCCTCTGACCCAATCTATCTTTGGCATCTCAAGGATGCAGTATCTTATCCTTTGTCCAAACATTCCACTGAGAAGGTATACAACCTTTTTTTGGTTTTTACTCTTGTCTATTTATGGTCCCCAAGAAGATCAGGGATGGGCTTATGGTAACAAATTATCTCTCAACCGGTTTCTGGTTATTTCACGATTTTGGATGGAGAATTTCTTTTCTGCCTTGTTGTCCTTGTTACTCGAACTGTAATTGACCAAAGTTGACATGCTAGACCCTGTCCTCCAGACATTTTCTGTGATTCGTCCATCGGAATTGCATCTTCCAATTCCATTCACTTCCCTTTGGTATAGCATTGACCCCTTATGTATTCAAGACCTTCACTTGCCACCTTCTTGGCCTGGTACTGAGATTCCACTTGTCCATGGATGATTGACTCCTCTTAGCCAATTTTCAGGATATCTTCTTACATCTGCTCTCCTACAAAAGGCTGCTTGGTTCCAATGGCTTGTCAAGATATCATTCTTTTTTTTTTCATGCCCACTTAATGTTTGGTACATCTGGGCATTTACTTCAATTTTTGTGTCGGCCAAGCTCGGCCTTCATCCTTTTGCCTTCAAGCACAGTTATAGCTTCCAAAGTTTATAGTATAACAACTCTAGCAAACCAATAATAGATGCTCTTTTTTTTGGTGCATCTTATTGGTTATATTTATAGGCGTGTGGAGGCTTTCTAGAAAATTCAGATTACATAACAATACAAAGCTACATTTAATCGTTTATGTACATACATATATTGTTCATTCTTACTTTTGAGAATCTTCTACAACTTTGGAGAATAGGCGGGAGTTTTGCAATACATGTTTAATAGTATAAGCTATGCATGTTTCTAAATATAAATTTAATCTAAACAAATGTTGATATTAAAATAAATATATAATAAATCTGTCAAGTATTTGTACTAAGGATTTGTTTGTAAATTTATGAGATCAGTCTAGCTCTGATGGACTATTCTGAGTACAAGGTGATTTTCATGTTAGTAATAAAAATACATTTTTTCATATTATAGTATTCATATTTTATTTACATAACCTTTAGAGCCTCCTAAATATATATCAAAATTTTGTTTTAAGTTAAACGTTATATTTTCTGTTATTTTCTATGTACTAACACTATACAAACTTGATTCATTTGATTGACCTTGTAACTACCACAAAAATTTATTTTTTTCTTGAATGAGTGCAGATTGTAACAGAAAATTACTATTGTTTATTCTAAACAGCCTTGTACTATAATAATTTCCATCTGTTTTTATTTAGTTTTATTCTTCTGTTGCTCTTTGAACTATATCTAACTACTAAACTGGTATAACAAAGCTATAAATCACCTGGCAAGCACATAACTCAGGTCACAGCATTCAAAGTATTGAATTACATAACACATGGGCCACTCGTGTGCATGTCCCTCTGAGAAAGTTAAAAAAAATTTTTTCAATATTGTTTACTTATCTGACCTAATAAGGTTGTAATTTTTACCTATTTGGTACTTTTTTTAACAATTATTAATAATAATAATTATACATGAACAAGAAATATTGTAATTGCTTCTGCCTCTTGTTTTTTGTTTTTTGTGCTTTGGTCCCTGACAAAACTGAATCCTACTTTTTTATAATGATGGTAGTAGTACATAAAATATATATTTCCAATATGCAGTTAAGAACACTAAATATGAACACCCAAAAATGACCTAAAACCCATACAATTTAATTGGCTTTCTAACTAAACTAAGTGGATTAAAATAATTCCCTTCCCTGACTTTGGGGATAGCAAAAATGAATTTTTAGGCTAAATAATTTAAAACCGATCATGAGAATGAGATAGCCTTACATGAAAATCAGTAAATTGAAATATTTTCTTGCTATTGGTTATAAATAATCCATTAGCAAATGATTGAGAATTACTAAAATTCTTTTGAAAGCATGTGATATGAGGGTGGCAAGTGGGTTTGACTTTTTGATTTATATTTCCATAAAGCAAGAATATTTGAGGCTATAAATTGGGACTATATCTCTTAGCAACAAACAAACAAACATGCACACACTATAAATTTACAATTTATGTTAAATGTAGGACATCATAAAAGGGTAGTCATGATATCTAAAATGGGCAATTCAGAGGAAACAGTTGTCACGTTATTCGGATTTATTGAAATATTTCCATTTGAAATTAAGAAATTTAAAGTTTTATATTATTAAAGTTTGTTTATTTAAATACCTTTTGGCACCATGTTTCTTCACATATATTGATGACAAAGTAGTTTAATTAGATTTTGAATGTAATTGTTAAAAGGTTGTGACATGCGCACTTTGACTTTCCCGTATCCAGAAGGTTAATGGACTAAGTTGAAAAAGTATGGATAGTTTTTTATGATTTTCATAAACACCATAAAATAAGTTATTCTCAAATCGGTCAAGAGATGACAGAACTATGAGCTAAATGTTTGTACCTGAAAAAATAAATTGAGCCATTCTATGAGCTGCTATGCCACGGTTAAAAACACTTGAAGGTTTTTATTTAGAAAGTTTTAGGGGTTATATAAATTTGAAAATTTTCAGATGAAGAAAAGTATTTTAATTCTTAACAAGAAAATCACCTTGCACTTGTAGCAGCCAACACTCTGACTCCATATATTCACAGACAAATTCTTCGTAAAAATACTTACTTAAGAGTCTGATATTTTGTGTGCAAGACTTGTAGTGTTTACTGAGAGCTTGCCAAATTTTGTGATGATACACATACCATATTAAAAGTTATCTCAAAGTAACTCTAATAGTTACTTTTGGGTTAAATGGTTGGTGTAATCTACTGACCCCATATAGAGAGAGTTAACAGAAGACCACTACAACATCATAGATAGAAAATGGATATTTGAATGGTTTTGTATCTAAGCTGAGGGTAATTTCAAAACAGGCTTTATTAATTTTCTTTAAGAGCTATAATGTCAGAGCTACCTAAAAACCTTATTAAAACTGTGAAAGTAGAAAGAGAAATGCAAGTAATTATTCTTCATTATGAATTACTTTTTTAAATAAGCTTGGGAATCAAAAAATACTTTTCTGTGTACATTTATTAAAACTGATTTGGACTCTTCCTGTTTAGTGGGCTCCTGATTTATCCTGATGGCCCTCTAAATGTAGATGGTGATCCATCTGAGATGTCAGAACTTTTTAAACCATTCTACACTCTTTTATATAAAATTAGGTAAGTACTTGTTCATGGCAATATAAAATATTGGCATTTTCTCTTCTCTCTGAGCTGTTGGCAACATTCATAATGTTCGTTGTCATTGATAAGAAAAATGTTGACATTTATCTCGTGATATGCTTGTCAATTTAAGTGAAGGTTTGTGTTGTACTACAAACACAAATTCCAGCAATACAAAACTTAGATTTGCTTGAAAGTGTTGAAGCTGTGTATTTCTTTTTTGCATGAGATACTCTATAATATTTGTTATTAACTACAAATCATAATCTAGTAATTATTCTAGAGGGTAAACACTGAACTGAAAGTAAATTCCTCTTCTATGCAAAGCCCTATATCATATTTGTATAGTTAAATTTCTATCATAACCTATTACTTTATTTTGTAATTATTTGTCATAACAATGAGTGGAAAATTAAGTCATCTTTCATGCACATTGTATATGACAGTTGTAATGCAATTGTAGCATTACTTTTTGTACATCTACAGTAAACATTAAGTAAGAAGAAGAATGATATATTTAAAAATATAAACTTAATAGTGACAGGTGTACATTATATCTTTAAATGCCTTACTTAACATGTGAAAAAATACAGCGTGAGACAATAAGAATTGCAAAATGTCATAAAACATATTCAGAATGTTTATTTAACTAATGATAATACCATACAAACGGTAGAAAAAGAATTGTATAGGTTATGTATTAGAATTTCAAATAGCCTGAAATTGAGTTGAATAATTTAAATTTAGTAGTTAAATAATTGCCAATATATCCAATTTATATTTGCTAACAAGATTGATACACACAGTTTTCTTTTTTTAATACAAATGTTTTAATATATAAACAACAATACAACTTACAATAACAGTTATTATAAACAATGATTTATATTCAAAAGTTTTACAAACTTACAAACAATATTGAGTCTCCTTTCTGGTCT